CTTGCTTCTAGTAGATGCCTACTGGACTTTATTTGGCAATGGCATCTGGCACAAAGGCCCAGGTGTTGAACAGAGTGATGGCACATAAAGTGGTCCTTAAGACCTCCTGTCACAATGCCATGTTGAGCTCTAAAGGTTAAAAGCAGCACCTTAAGCTTAGAAACAAAGAAAATTAGCTCAGATAATACAAGACTCCAACCACTTGTTCTAATCACACAACCCAGGCTAGGCACTAGCATTTTGTACCACAGTTTTGTTTTTATCACACATTTCCGCAGTAATCTGTAGGTTACTAGGGCATGATTGATGGGTGAAGTTTGACTTAGCCAGGAAGTATCACAGCTAATGTGCCAGCTGAAGCTAGTAAAAGGCACTCCTATGTCCTGATGTCACCTGAGCCTCCAGGGCAAACATGCTGGTCACGGAACAGCCCAAACTATGAACCCAATCCTTGAGGGGGAGTGTAACCATGTCCAGAACAATCTGTATCACCTAAATCCAGATTTAGAAAAATATCCCACTCAACAGTAGTTTCATCTTGTCTGGATTAAGTTTCATTTTTTTTACATACTATCAAGTCTCACACTCAAACAGTTTCAAGATTCCTTGTCTCCTTAGCCTCCAAGGTAAAGAAGAGATAAAAAGGTGGGTGTTACCAACACATTGCTCAGCAAACTGTCTCTGGACTTCACTCAGCCATTTTATATAGATACTAAAACAAGATCCTCTCTGCTGCACCTCAGTGACAGAGCTGCAGTCCCCCAGCATCACCTTCTGCAGCAAGCCCTCCAGAAATTAGTGGAACCATGTATAGAAAAAAGTCCCCTCCTACACAAATCCTATGAGGTGCCATCAACTGTCACTGAGAGCTCCAGGAAAATCAACAAGTTTACATTCTCATTTCCCAGCACAAGCAGTCCGCTAGGGCAACCAAAGTAGATTTCAATTCAACGCTGGGCCAAAAATTTTGATTGGAAGGAATCATTATCATTCTGGAGCTACAGAAGAGTCCTTAGGCTAATTTGTGTTGATAAATATATGAAAGACTTTCCAGGATTAAAAAGTATGATAGGAAAGAACAAAATTCTTCCTGAAAATTATAGACATGAAACTAGTTTCATTTTCATGCCCCTCATTAAAATATTCAGTGCTGCCAATATAAAGGAAGAAGAGAGGAAGATCCTGTAGAATATGGCTCTCTTAATTTTTTACTGAAATATTCTAAGTACCTTGACAGATATGACAAGGATTCATTCAACAAGAACTACATTTGGCCACATGCCATGGTGTGCAGAGAATTTTCACTAAGTAAATCTTTTACTAAAATACCTCAAAAATCTGAATTTGGCTTTCCCCGATTCTTCAGTGTTTAATGCCTCATCATCTCCAATATGTAATTCAACACATTACAGATTCAATAGCTAGGTTTCTTCAAGGAACTTAAAGCATACTTCTAGGATAAATACTAACTTAGGATTTACTTAGTGTGTTCAGAGTACTACATACGTATATTCTTGTCAGTGGTATTTACAAGACGGTTGCAATGTAGGCAAGTTTTACTAGAGCCACATTCCAGATGGGGACCAAGGCCAAGAGTGGTTTGCTTAAGGTCATCTACTGAGTTCATGGTAGAGATAAGATCTAAACCCCTGACTAGATGGTTCACATCTCAGTATCTTAGGCACAACAACGTTGCAGTCCTCATGAATTCAATTAAGAATGCTGACTGTCACTGCAGCATCTCCAGGCTGGCACAGCAGAGACATATATGATCCACTGCCAGCTGGGCCAGTAGCTGGATCAGCTTAGGACTCAGCAGGTCCTTATCCAGCCCAGCTCCATTCCCTTCATGACTGAAATGCATTTCAGGAGTCTATGCTGTCTATCACTGGATTGGGTAGAGGGAATCTGTGCAGATGAATTCAGCTATATGTTCCTATTTTATCACAACATACATAAGTGTATTTTACCTCAGTGTATGAATTTCTAAACATACTTTCTTCTAAAATACACATTTCAAAACACTTTTGGTAAGTTTTGAGCCAAGAACACCACCACAAAATTCAAAGATGTGCACAACTTAAAATGATAGTTACGTTATTAATATTTTGATATTGAACAACTTATCACTCTTGGTACCTGCTAAAGGACTAAAAATGTCACATTACCAACCTCTAATTCACAGATAGTCTTAAATACAGATTCGGAGGAGGATGAGCCAGTGTGTGTTAATTTTTCTGATTAATGTTGTAATATTATGGTGATTTGTAAATATTTCATGTTTACTTATATAGCTGAACTTGAATACCTCATTACATTAGTCCTTTTGTTGAAGATTTAAAAATCTTCAGATGAAGAGCTGTAAATAAGCCAACTCCTCAGCTTTCAATTTTGGAAAAAGCTGTGATGACTAGTAATACTATCAAGAATGAGAAAAAGGGATGCAGGTGATTGTATAACACACACACCTGAAAATGATCTGTGTCTTAGTTGACCACAATCTTAACATGCATCAACAGTGTGATGCAGCAGCAGAAAAAGTCAATGCTATTCTACGCTGCACCAACAGAAGTATACTGTCCAGATCAATGGAAGTCATAGTACTGCTCTTATTTTGCCTTGTTCAGATCACATCTGGAGTACTGTGTCCAGTTCTTGGTGCCACAATTCAAGAAGATATTGACTGTCAAGCTGAAACGTGTGCAGAGAAGGGTGCTCAAGATGATCAAGGGTCCGAAACCAAGCCTTATGAGGAACCATCAAGGGAGCTGGGTATGTTTAGCTTGGAAAGGAAGAGACTGAGAGGAGATATGATAGCCATCTTCCAATAGTTAAAGGGCTGTCACATGGAGGATGGAGCAAGCTTGTTTTATCCTGTTCCACAGGGTAGGACCCAAACCAATGACTTCAAGTTACAAGAAAGTAGATTCTGATGAAACATCAGGAAGGACTTCCTAACAATAACAGCTGTTCCAACAGTGGAACGGACTCCCTCGGAAAGTGGAGGACTCCCCTTCCCTGGAAGTTTTTAAACAGAGGTTGGATGGCCATCTGTCACGGTTGCTTTAGTTGTGATTCCTGCACTGCTGGGGGTTGGACTAGATGACCCTCAGAGTCCCTTCCAACTCTATAATTCTAAGTTAAAAAAGATCAAATCAACTGAAGCCTGCTGTCTTTAATGGAATTTTCACTGAGATATCATGCAGAAATGGTGGTGTACCATAACACTGAAGGCGGTGAATGTAATTGTTTACAATCATATCTAGCACCTGGAAATGTTTAGAGCCAAACATTAAACAACTGCTTTGAAAGCGGCCAGGAGGAATTTAAGGACAAAGTGTGGGTCTTCTAGGAGCAAATTATCTCAAATAGCTATTAAGCACCTCACCTGCAAATAAAATATAATTTTAAAAAGCATGTATTAAACTAGCATTGAAAATATTGTAGTCAGAGGTCTATAGGATTTCTGGCTTTTGCACAAACTAAGGTAGACATGAAGTGATGTATACACATGCATGAAACATCACTTTTCTGGTAAATCCACAAGCATCTGTTGCACTACCCTACAATTATCTTCAGGTGTATATCAGAGTCTGGAGGACTCTGTTAACGGCTGTGTAATGAGGAGTGGAGCACTCAGCTGATTTGACTCTCCTTATGGAGTCCTCCACAGGGGTTGGACTAGATGACCCCTGTGCTCCCTTTCCAATTCTACGATCAGACCTTGAAACGAGTGCTTCCAAGATAAGCCATCCCCACATATTCGCATTTGCTTCAGCACCTGCTGCTCACCATCAAACTGGCTATTGGCCAATTCTGGCAAAGCACACCAGTTGTTTTTGAAGTCAGGGGCTTCCCTAAGACGGGATTGCGGGGGGGGGGAGAGAGAGAGACGGGGGGGGGTGCATTTAAAAGGGCGGCGGCCAGCTACATCATGGCATCGGCCTGTCCTGCCCACAAATCACGGCTGCCCCGTCATCAGCCGAGACAGAACGGAGACGAGCGAGAGCAGCTTCCAGCCAGCGCAGCTCCCAGAATGCCGGACGTAACGGTCTCGGCGGCGGCTCCAAGTGACAAGTGGAATCCCAACAGCTCCAACTCCCAGCAACAGCGCCGACAACAAAACACAACAAGGCGGCGGAACACACACGCTCACTCTCTCCGCCTGCGCGCCGACGCCGGGCAGAGGAGCGCTCCCGGAATAGCAGATGCGCGGGGTTAGCAACGCACAAATACACACAAACTATAAAAAAGAGCTGCGGACCTTCGAGGCTCCCGCCTACCGAAGTCAGGGGGAACCTCCCGCCACTGTAACGGATGGCGATGTTGATCGTGCTAGCGCAGCCGCGGGCTCGGAAAGCGCTGCCTCTGTGTATGTGTGTGCCTTTTAACGAGCGCAAGAGAAAACGAGTATTTATCTCAGCAGAGGAACATGAGCTGCAGACAAGACACACCCTCGCACACATCCCTTGCTCTTCGACGCCCCACAACTCTCTTTCTCTTGCCCGGCTTCGCCCCCCACCCCCTTCACAAGAAGCCCCCCTCGAGCGCCACACCCAGAAGCAGCCGCCGCCGCCCCCCCCACACTGAACAAGCTCACCCTCCAGCCCCCCCTCGCGCAATGTTGAAAAAGGGGCGGGGGCGGGAAGGACCCTCGAGGTGGATTCCTCCATTTCCTCTCATGAAGAGAAAACACGCGAGGCACTCCCCACCCCCCGGCCGGGGTCTCTCGCCTCCGGCTTGGCCCACCTCGCCTCCACCGGACACGCAACTTCTCCCGACTAGCGGCTGAGGGAAAAGTTTCCCCGAAGTCCCGCCCGCCACTTCTCCCTCCCTCGCTCGCTCTTTCTCAACCTCCGTCCCTCCCACAGCGGCGGCCCCTTCGCGCCCCGCGCTCGGACGACGGAGGGGGAGAGGGAACTGGTTTGGTCCGGAGAGGAGCCGCCGCCGCCGCCGCCCCCTTCGCGGAAAAAAAGAGAAAAGTTTCTGCGGCGACTCACCGCAGCAGACGCGGGAGAGGAGCAAGCCCAGCGAGAGCAAGCCGGGCAGGGCGGGCGCAGCCGGGCAGCGGCGGCGGCGGCAACAGAGCCGAGATGGAGGGGAAGAGGACGAGCGGCGGCGGCGGCCGGGAGGAGCCGGCGGAGCGTCCGCCGCCACAATGGACCCGGCCATGCTGGGGGCTCCGTTCTCGGCAGCAGCAGCAGCAACCGCCGCCGCTACGGCTCGGCAGCGCAGCCTCCTCCTCCGCCTCCTTCCCTTCGCAGCGCCGGGTCCGTGTGTCGCCGCGCGGGGAGGCGTCGCGCCCGCTGCCCCTCCTCCTCCTCCTCCCACCGAAGGAACGGGACGGACCATCCCAACCGCGAGGGGAGGGGCGTTGAGAGCGCGGGTCCCCCCCTCCTTGGCGCTTCTCTTTCCCTGAAGGCCTTTCTCTGACGGGACGTCCCCGGTCTGAACGAATCGACGCCTCCGACGAGGAAGCTTGGCACCCGGGAGCGGGAAGGTGGGAGCGGAGGGTATGTCACAATGGCTCCCTCCCCCTCCCTTTGAGAATTAGTGGTACATGCCGCTCCTCCCCCTCCTCTTCCCTACTTGCAAATTAGGAGGGGGGTTTTTTAGAGGCGGGGGGCGGGGCAGAGAGAGATAATCAGTGCTTCTCACTCTCTGTTTTTTATACTTTCATTTCTATTTTTTTCCAGCCACCCCTCTTTCCTCTGTAGCATTTCTTTCTTTTTCTTTGCTTCTAACCACGATTGAGTTTCCTTTTCCTCTCCATGATTTCCCCTTCTCTACCTTCCTTTGCCTCGTCTGCCAGTTTTACTCTGGGTGGTTATTAAGTCCTTCGTGGCTGGCGAAAAATACAGGCTTGCTGGTTTTCCGTCCGCAAACCGTTGCCAGCCCCGCTCTTTCTCCTTCCACGCTAGGACCCTCCGAGAATCCTCCTCCTCCTCCGACCAGCTGGAAGAAGCACCAGGAGCACAGCAAGAGACAGAAAGGCGACAGGGTTGTTTTGCAAACGACCGTCAGCCAGCAAGCAAATACCCGACACTCTTCTTCATCCTCATCATCTTCTTCTTCTTCCAGCCGTGGCATGGCTCCAAATAATCACCTGAGTTCAGGAGCGCTTAACGACGCAGCAGGAGAATGTTAACACCAGTAGGTTCACCTTCTGGTCCTCCCTCGTTCCCGCCCCCTTTGCCGCTTTAAAAAAAAAAAATCAGCAACCACGAAAGGAAAAAGTAGTTTGGAATTAGAGTTTTCGGACGTGGATGGAAAAGGACATGTGACCCGGAATGAAGGAGGAAAGGTTACAGGCTACCTGACAAAGTTAGATGTGGCAACCAGTTACTGGAAAATTAAATGCTTGTTTATCAGCAGATTTAATTGCTGGTGAAAGATACGGGCTTGACAATTGCAGCAGTTGCACCTTCTGCATCCGTTCAAAGCGTGCGGGGAGATGGGGCTTAATGAAGGTAGTGACAGTGCAAGCTTTCCTTTACTTCCCTGTCCATCTATTGCAGCCTTTTTCTGAAAGTGACAGAAGGTACGGTAGCTCTCTCCTTCTGTAACCTGCATCCCAACTACTACTGCCCGTTTCTGTGGTCATGTCTAGGATGTGGGCATTTGCCCTCTGCCAATAAGACTGCAACAAAACTCATTTTGCACAGTCCATCGAAGATGTGGGATGGGCGTAAGCTTCATTCCTTGCTGCACTGTGGAAACAGATTAGAACTGGCACCAGTGAAAAGCAGGGTATCATGTTCCCAATCCTCTTAGCCAATCAGATCTCTTTAGCAAATAATGGGTTTGGAGATGAAGGGAAGGCAGAAGGATGTTTATGAACAGATCTTGAGTGTGAGATGGAGATGCTTGCAGATACTAAGAACCTGATTTTGCAATACTCGCTTCATCCAGGGAGGTTCTTTTGACTCCAATAAAATGGTTCAGCATCTCATTCAGAGCATTTGAAGAAAACTGTCAGTGAAACACAGTTGTTGAGGGGATGCTCTTACTTCAACAAGGATGAAGAGAAGTTTGAGAATAGTGTATATATGTATGTACTACACATTAAGAGAATCCGAATGGTACTTTGTAAAAGCATGGTTTGCAAATCACATTAGAGTAAATAAGAATTACGTTTCCAATTATGTGAACTTGCTTAGCTTTATTATCAGGAAGAGCAAATTAACTGAGAGAGTTAACAAAATCAATTTTTGAATTGTGTAATTTTTCTGTTTTCATATACAATCTTTTAAACTGAACACAAACTACCTGTTGAGACTTCAATCCCAAAAAAACATTGTAGCACATTTTGGAAACACCTGCCTGATAGATTTGCAGGGAGTGTAAGGATGCCAAATAAGTGTGTTTTCACAAATGTGATTCAATACTGGGATTTCTGCTTATTGGGTATCACTGTCTACATAGTTTGATATTCTTATTATCAAGTCTCTGTGCAACTCGGCAAACTTTCTTTTTTAAAGGAACAAACAGGTCACAAAGCATGTTTTCTCTGTCATTTATTGCCCAAACCCAAGCACCTTTACTTAGTAAGTCCCATTGATTCAATTATGACTATGCACACATTAACAGCTTAAAGGTAAAGGGACCCCTGACCATTAAGTCCAGTCACAGATGACTCTGGGGTTGTGGCGCTCATCTCGCTTTATTAGCCGAGGGAGCCAGCATACAGCTTCCGGGTCATGTGACCAGCATGACTAAGCCGCTTCTGGCGAACCAGAGCAGTGCACGGAAACACCATTCACCTTCCTGCCGGAGCGGTACCTATTTATCTACTTGCACTTTGATGTGCTTTCGAACTGCTAGGTTGGCAGGAGCAGGGACCGAGTAACAGGAGCTCACCCCTTCGCGGGGATTCGAACCGCCCACCTTCTGATCGGCAAGCCCAAGAAGCTCAGTGGTTTAGACCACAGCGCCACCCGCGTCCTTATAAGATTGTACTATACATGCACTTCTGATCAAACTGATCGGCAAGCCCTAGGCTCTGTGGTTTAACCCACAGCACCACCCGTATTCCAGCTTACAATGCAACAAAATTATTTCCCCCCTGCTGTGTTTCAAGTTCCATTTGCATGTTACTGTTCACACCAGATAGGAGGCAGGGATGCTTTCATCTGATATGCATTACCTCTTTGGTTTCACCACATCTGTAAGCCCCCAAATACTATTCATGAAGCTTTCTTCTGCACATGTGCAAGGGCTGTCTCAGCTTCCCTATGAAGTGAATGTTGCCTAAGTGGTTGGCACCACTTTGCGGTGGTGCCAGTCCCACTGGAATTTCATTCCCAGAGGGTGTTGCTTAGGGAATGCTTTTCCGCCCCATGGAATCTTCAATGTGGGGTTCTGCAAGGCTCAGTCCTACCCCGTACATTGTTTAATGTCTATATGAAACCACTGAGTGGGGTTATCCGGAGGTTTGGAGTACGTTGTCAGCAGTATGTTGATGACACTCAGCTCTCTTTCTGCTTTACATCTGCAGATGAGACAGTGGAAGTGCTGGACCAGTGTCTTACCTCGGTAATGGTCTGGATGAGAGCCAGCAAACTGAAACTCAGTCCAGATTAGACTGAGGCGCTGTTAGTGGGTGGTTCCCTAGACCGGATGGGTGAGAGATCGCCTGCTCTTGATGGGGTTACACTTCCTCTGAAGGAGCAGAGTCGTAGCTTGGGGGTACTCCTGGATCCTTTGCTGTCGCTCGAGGCTCAGGTGGCCTCAGTGGCTCAGACTGCCTTCCATCAGCTTCAGCTGGTGGCCCAGCTACGCCCCTATCTGGACAGGGATAGCCTAACTACTGTTGTCTATGCTCTGATAATCTCAAGGTTAGATTACTGTAATGCATTATACATAGGGCTGCCTTTGAAGACGGTTTGGAAATTTCAGCTAGTACAGAATTCAGTGGCCATGAGAATATTACACCAATCCTGGTCTGACTGCACTGGCTACCAATTAGTTTCCAGGCCCAATTCAAAGTGCTGGTTTTGACATATAAAGCCTTAAATGGCTCAGGACTGCAATACCTCAAGGACCGCCTCTTTCCATATGAACCTACCTGGACCCTGAGATCATCTTCTGAGGCCCTCCTTCGTGTGCCTCCTCAAGAGGTCTGGAGGGTGGCAACACGAGAACAGGCCTTCTCTGCAGTGGCTCCCCGTCTATGGAATGCCCTTCTCAGGGAAGTTCACCTAGTGCCTTCATTATACACCTTTAAGTGCCAGGCAAAACATTCCTTTTCAACCAGGCCTTTGGTTGATCTTATTAACATTCTATGCCCTTTAAAAATGTGGGGGGTTTTGACAGGGTTATTAGTTTGTTGTTTTTATTCTGATTATGAATTTTGTGGATTTGTATTTTGTTCTGTGAACCGCCCTGATACTTCCGGGTATAGGGCAGTATCTAAATTCAATAAATAATAATAATAATAAATAAGATGTTTTCAAAGTGGATGGAAGCTGATGTGAGGGGAAACGCATCCAACAGCAGTATTCCTCAAGAAACTACAGGATAGATATGGATTGTGGTGAATATTGTGTGTCCACTGCTTCAAATACTAGAGGTAGCATAAACGGTAATGTGTGGACAGCCTATATTTCCTAGTAAATGTACTTTGGATTGTATCCTTAATACTTGGTATTAAACAAATATGTGGATAATGGATTTATTGTGGCTAACAGCCATGGGCTTTAAATGGAGCCTGCAAGGCAGAAGTAGCAAAGTCAATATCAGATGCTGGGTACAAGCAATGCCAGAGGGATGCTGGTTTCTTTCTTTGTTTTTAAAACCTGTTTTTGTGCTTCTCAGAAACATCTAGCTAGGAACAAGGTGCCAGACTAGGTAGATCTTGATGTGGCTGATGAAGGAGTTGCCGTTGTCTTAGCCAGATTCTGCTACTTCCGACAATTCTGTCAAAATCCTGACTTGAAATGGAGCAAAGAACATAAAGGAGCCGTAGGTAGGCAAAGAAAAAGCACCTCCTAACAGGAGCAGCTTTAGGCCAAACTGCATTATTCCTTCCTTCCTGTTTGGAACATGCTGTGCTTGAAGGGCAAAAGGTAGAGAGCTCGAAGAAGAGTCTGCAGTGTGAAGTGCTGGGGAGTTCTCAGTGATTTCAGGTTGTATAACATAAGTTACAGACCATGGGGTAGCTGTAAATTGGAATACGCCGCAGCTATTAGTTGGCCTTTTCTCCCACCCCGTAGCTCCTGGTACAACTGAAAGTATACATCCCACTGACACACAGGTATGGATTTTGAATCCAGTTCAAATGTAAAAATGTTTCAGAGCTATTTGTAGGCCGCCTCTCAAAGCTAAAAGCTCTTTCAAGGCAGCTTATAGAAAACATACACACATCA